CGGGTGCGGAGGGAGGCCAGGAGGGACAGGTACACACCGCGGTCCTGGGGAAGGGGGTGCAGAGGCACAGGTGGAGTCACCGGTGGGGGAGAGAAGGAAGTGTCAGCGGGGGCAGTGCTCACAGCGCAAGTCCGATGCCCCGGGGGACGAAGGAAGCAGCAGGTGGTGAAAGGTCTGGAGCCTGCTGGTCCTCACCTGTGCAGGCCCCCCCTGATGCGTGGGCTGCTTGGCCCCAAAGGTCTGGGCGTGTTTGCTCATCCTCTCCTTCTTGGCCTCCACAGCTGCATAGTACCTGGGTGTGCGGAGGACGGCCATCAGTCCCGCCCACCGGGCCCAGCGCTGACCGGCCCCCGCCCCCCCCCCGCCCCCCCGCCAGCTTACCCCTTTGTGTGGAAGGCACCTCGGGAGTCCAGCAACAGGAAGAGCTCCCCCTGGGTTTTGGGGCTGTTCCCCGTGAAGAGATAATGCTCCAGCGGCACGGGGCGGGCGGCAGTGCTGACCACGTAGATCTGGCGGCGCTTCAGTCGTCTGAGCGGGAAGGAAACCGGTCGGGGTGGGGGTGGGAAGGAGCAGCCCACATCCCCACCCACCTTCTGCCTCTGGCCTCCCCCCAGTCTTTTCTGGGAGCCGGACTGGGAGGCTGTCCCCGTCATCGTATCTCTCAACATTCAAAGTGGTCTGGGCCCAAGTGGGCCATGTTCCCCAGACCCACCCCGGCCCCCCCTCCCCCCACGGTCTGGCCACGCTCCTCGCCCCCAGCCCCAACCAAGGGAGGACCACAGCCCCTTCGCCCAGCACCCGGGACACACATCTCACCCAATCCAGTCAGCAAATTCAAGGGCGTTGGGGACAGTGGCACTCAGAAGGATGATGGAGACATGGTCAGGGAGCATGATCAGCACCTCCTCCCACACGACCCCACGCTGGGCAGAGAGGGAAGACAAGTCACGGGCAGCTCAGAGGGGCTGTCCTCCTAGGCTTCCACTGGGGGCAAAGGCAGGGAGGTTTCAGGGGGTGTGGCGGGAGCTGCTGAGCTGGCCCCAGGGAAGAACGGCTGGTCTGGGGCCCCACGGCCTCCTGCTCCTCACCTCAGCGTCGTTGATGTAGTGAACCTCATCGAAGATGACCCACTCCAGGTCCCGGATGACGTCTGAGCCGCTGTACAGCATGGAGCTGGGGGAGACGCAGGCTGACTCCCCAGTGGCTCCTGTCTCCACCGACCCAGCCAACACTCCAGAGCAGCCTCCCCTTCCCGAGCCAAACCCACCCGTGCCGAGTGCCCATCTCTCACCGAAGGATCTCTGTCGTCATGATGAGGCAGGAGGCCTCTGGGTGCAGCTGTACGTCCCCCGTGAGCAGCCCCACGTCCCCGAATGTGTTTCGGAAGTCTCGGAACTTCTGGTTACTCAGAGCCTTGATAGGGGAAGTGTAGATGGTGCTGGAAGAGGGTGAGGTTAGCCAGTCACTCCACACAGACTGCGGTCAGCACCGCCTCTCCCACCGAGCCCTCCCAGCAGCATGCCGCAGCGCTCAGGCGCCCCCCTTTCTTCACCCAAACAGCCCTCCTTCTCCTTCATGACGTGACCGAGGAAAAATTCTGTCCCTCGACCCCTTCCTGAACTAAATGCATGCAGGTCATGCTTCTCAACTCTCTCCCCACACCTTCTCATTTCCTCCCAGGCCCGTCTCCATTCCTCCCCCAACTCTCCCATCTAAAAGATGAAGTAAAGCCAGGCTGGCGTGGCCCAGTGGTTGAGCACGGACCTATGAACCAGGAGGTCATGTTTTGATTCCCAGTCGGGCACATGCCCGGGTTGCAGGCTCAACCCCAGCGTGGAGCATGTAGGAAGCAGGGGATCAATGATTCTCTCTCATCACTGATGTCTGTCTGTCTGTCTCTCTCTCTCTCTCTCTCTCTCTCTCTCTCCTTCCCTCTCAGAAACCAATAAAAATGTATTTTTAAATAATGAATAAAAGATGAAGTAAAGACATGGGAAGAGAGGAGACTTAGAAGGACGCGGGAGAAAGCAGGGACGGCTGAGGAAGGGAAGGTGGTACCGCGTCATGTGCTTCTGGGCAAGGGCAATGGCGTATTCGGCCACAACCGTCTTCCCTGCAGATGTGTGAGCCGCCACAAAGACCGAGTCGTGCCGTTCCAGGTGCAGGATGGCCTGTTTCTGGAACACATCGGGCTCAAATGGCCACTGTGGGAGAGAGAACTAGATGAGGGCTAAGGAAGGGAGGGGGCCTTCCTACCTCTGGCTCCTGGGGCACGCAGGGCAGTAGAAGGCCAGAGTGAGCGAGGCTGGGACTGAGGTCCAAGACTGGCCTGGAAGGCATCTGGCCTCTGGTGAGGAGGGCAGACAAGGCAGCGGGCTGGGAGGAGGCGGGAGATGTGAGGCCGGGCCACACTACCTGGAAGGCTGGCTGGGGGATGAGGCGGTAGAAGTCACCAACGGGGGAGGTGACATCCACAGGAATGGCCCACTGCTCCTGAGGAAGGGGCTTGGGGGGCTCTGAAGGGGACACAACTGTGGACGCTTCCTGGAAAAGTAAGAGGTGGGAGCGATAAAGATACAGCCAGAAAGCTCCCCATTACCACTCCTCCCAAAAGATGCTCCAGTCTCTCCCGTAGATCCAAGCCAGCCAGCCCACCTCCCGGGGCCAAGGCCCCCTTCTTTCCTGTTTCAACTGCCCAGAAGCACCCACCTTCAACACTAGGTCCTCCAAGCTGCTTGCTCTGGCCACGGGAGCGCTGCAGGGAGAGGCTGGAACAGTGTCTCCTCTGGTACCTCCTGGCTGTCCCACTGCCTCCCTCTCGTCTTCGTCGCCCCCACCCAGATCCAGGGGCTCTAGCAGACGGCTGAGGCTGAGCAACCCAGGCGCTGGAGCTGGGTGATCTGAGGAGCCAGGCAAAAAGGGAGACCCAGTCCGTCCATCTCCGTTCTACAGGAGAAGGGCACCACTTCTACACGCCCGTCCCAGAACTCACCCTTTGGTGCAAAGTCCACGCCTCTCTTGAAGCCAGGTGGGATGGTAAGGAGGTCTGCAGGACGGACAGAGCGCGTCAGGACCACTGCGCACTCCTGAGCAAGTCCTACGTCACGCAGACTAAAGAATGCCATGGCAGCATGGGCGTTGTAGCTGGGGACAGTTGTAATAGTTTTCCAACACGTGACCGTAATGTTTGTTGCGGAAGGGGGACCTTTTCCTAACTTGATCAAAGGCACGGAAGGGCTAGCAGCAGCCCAGTGCTAGGCCTGGGCCCCTCGTCCTCAGGGCCCAGACTTGGATGGAGCCCTGCCTCCCAAGGGTCCAGCCTGGCACCACCTCACCTTTCTCAAAGTCTATCTCCTCCTCAGCCTCCTCCCGGGTGCTCAGCTCTGTGAGGGTGGGCTCATCCATTCCACCTGGGGAGAGGTTGGACACGAGGAGTCATGAGGGGGGATACGGGAACCCTTCCCTGGAGACTGAGGGCTCCCTCCCCTACCATCTCATTTCCACAACAGTTACCTGGCCAGAAAGGGTACTGTGTTGGATTCCCCCACAAGGACTGGGAGATGGGCCCTGGTGGCCGGCGAAGAGATAAGGAGGTGGTGGCCGACAGGTCTGTATTCTCCAGCAGGACCTGAGGTGAGCGATCAGAGCCGAGGCCGAGCTTGCCTCCGACCCTCCTTCCCCAGCCCTGCTGCTCGTGGCCCCTGAGCCCTTACCTCCTTGAAGCCCAGTATCTGGCCCGTGGTTGGTTGTCTTTGGGCTTGCAGGTCGGAGGGGACTGGGGCCCCCAGTACAGTGAGGAGAGACCAAGGATCCATCTTCCTCTGCCATTTTCTAGAGAGAAGGAAGTAATTTTCAAGTCTTCTTTCTCCTCTGTCTCAGCTTCCTCCATGGGCCCATCTCCCTAGGCCAGGCCCCTCCGACCCTCACCGAGCTGAGTGCTCCAGGCCATGCAGAGGCAGCCAGGCTGGAGACGACAGGAACCACTGCTCGGCTTCTTGCTGCAGATCTGGGGCACAGGGAGGGAGGCCGTGGGGAAGCTGGGGCCAGGCGAGATGAGAGACAGTGATGGGACTGGTGTTAGAGCAGAAACGGCAGATGACCCAGACAGACTAGGACAATCAAAGTGAACGATGTTTCCCAAAGGCTGTGACACTTTCCGGGACAAAGGACCTGCTGGTTAATAGTACAGATTTCAGAAGCTGGGGCTGGACCCAGGAATGTGTATTCTTTAAAAGCTGCCCCACTGATTATGAGGCACCTGAAATTTGAGAATCACCAGCTTCAGGGAGAAGGGCCCAGACGGAAAGATGAAGAGTGGGCTGGCATCTCAGCCACCAAGTGCTTGGAGACAGAAGGGCCTGCACGAGGACAGACACACTGGAAAGCGCAGTTGGGGAGCTAAGGCACCCCCGGAGCGCCCCGCGGGTCCTCAAGGGGCTCCCACCCGGAGCAGCACTAGGCTGGAGTCCGCCCGGCACCAGGCCGGCCCGATGACAGGTGTCGACAGAAAAGCGGGTCATGCTCGTCCTACTGAAAGGAAAGGGTTTTGAGCCCAGTGCGGGTCAAAGGTTAGGGTCATAAGTCACTCACCGTGCTCTCTGGAGCCCCCGGCACGTTCCGCAGCGCCCAGCGCCCAGTGCATCCCAGCTCCACAGCCCGAAGAGGCAGGTCCAGGGGGTCCGGGGGAGGCAGCACTACGGGAGGAAGATCAGAGGTCAGGGGTCAAGGGTAGATTCCTGTCTACTCCTTCGTTCCACCCCCGCCCCCTCACCGAGTCGCTCCGTCTCCATCATCTGGGAGCCACAGCAGCTGCCCCGCAGCCGGAAGTGCAGCGAGGAGCCGCGGTAAGCCCCGCCCCCTAAAGGGCGGAAGTGAAGGCGACTTCCGCCACCCACCCGCCGAGTGCCTGCGAGGGGCCGCGGGCTCCGGCTCCGGGGAAGGCCGGGCGGAAGTGCCTGCGAGGCGGCTGCCGTGGGTGCCGCGCTTCCGCCCCTCGTACGTCATCGCTCCGAGCCGGCGACCGTGCCCGCGGGCCGCCGCCCGAGACCGCGGCCGGGCTGACGCCCCTCAGGTAAGGCGCCCTCCTCCGCACCCTGCGCCCTTTTCCGAGCTCCTTCCTTCCCTTTTCCGATGTTCCGAGGGCGCTGCGCGGGTTCCGCCGCCGCCTCTGCAGTTGGGACCCCGCGGTGGCCATGCTGACCCGTGGGGTAGGGGGGCTCTGGTGCCAGCGTCTCGGCGACGGAGGGTGTTTCTCCCGGTCCACGTGGTGCCGCTGGGCTGCTGTCCGTGAATCCTAGCGAGGAGGGGTGCTGGGCCCCCGAGCCTAAGCCAGGGCTGGGAGAGGCGACCCCAGCAGTCAGTGCCGGTGGAGAAAGATGTCTTGGCCCCGCCCCTGAACCAGGAGCCACCATGTTGGTGATACCCCCCGGACTGAGCGAGGAGGAGGAGGCTCTGCAGAAGAAATTCAACAAACTGAAGAAAAAGGTGAGGGGGTGTGGCGGGCCGCCCGCGGTGTGGCTCGGAGCGGGCAGGTCTGTCCTATCAGCCTGCCCTGGAGCTGCCTCCCTTCCCCGCGGCTTTCATCCTCCTGAAGCTGGCGCTCCCCAGTGTAGTTTTCCCATTTCCGTCTGGTCTCACTGATACCCCTAACCTAACCTACCCAAAATAAAGCCATCATCTTCCTCCGAGCCTAACCTCGTTCCATTTCTTCATCTTCCAAATACGAACCGACCACATTCAGTTCTTCCGAGTGTTTGGAACCACACATTTCAGCTCTGCCCCGGCGGGTTAGAACATCGTCCTGACTCACAAGGTTGCAGGTTCAGTCCCCCGTCAGGCCACAGACAAGAATCAAATCAGTGAGGGGGGCAGCACACCAGTGTTGCTCTCAAATCAGTTTTTTTAAATCTCATCTCTGACTTTTCCATTTGCATAGCCAAACAATTGCTGTCTTTTTTAATATCCTATATAATAAAAGCCTAATATGCTAAGTGTCCAGTCAGCCGTTCAGCCAATCAAAGCATGATATGCTAATGATATGCTAAGGCCCCTAAACCACTCACTATGACATGCACTGACCACCAGGAGGCAGACTCTCAACCGGTCGACCAGTTACTATGATGTGCACTGACCACCAGGGGGCAGATGCTCTGACCAGTAGGTTAACTTGCTGCTGGGGTCCAGCCGATCTGGACAGAGCAAGATGGGCCAGACACGCCCTGGAGCCCTCCTGCGGTCCCTCCCCAGCTGGCCAACCTCTCGAGTCCCTCCCAGGCCTCAATCTGCACCAGTGGGGTCCCTCGGCCTGGCCTGCACCCTCTCGCAATCTGGGACCCCTCAGGGGATGTCCGAGAGCCAGTTTCGGCCCGATCCTACAGGCCAGCCGAGGGACCCCACTGGTGCATGAATTCATGCACTGGGCCTCTAGTGTGTGTGTGTGTGTGTGTGTGTGTGTGTGTATCTCTCTCTCTCTCTCTATATATATATATATATATATATTTTTTTTTTTTTTTTAATTTCAGAAAGGAAGGGAGAGTGAGAGAAGTGGGGACATCAGTGATGAGAGGGAATCATTGATCTATTACCTCCTGCACACCCCCTACTGGGGATTGAGCCAGCAACCTGGGCATGTGCCCTGACTGAGAATGGAATCATGACCTCCAGGTTCATAGGTCAATGCCCATCCACTGAGCCACACCAGTCAGGCTCCTTGATTCTTTCTTGAAAATAATTTCTTTTTTCCTGCATATTCCATAAATCATCAGGTCTTTGCTGATGTTCACGTAGACCAGGGGTCCTCAAACTACGGCCCGTGGGCCACATGCAAATACAAATATTGTATTTGTTCCCGTTTTGTTTTTTTACTTCAAAATAAGATATGTGCAGTGTGCATAGGAATTTGTTCTTAGTTTTTTTTTAAACTATAGTCCAGCCCTCCAATGGTCTGAGGGACAGTGAACTAGCCCCCTGTTTAAAAAGTTTGAGGACCCCTGACATAGACTGTTGTAATGGTCTCTAAACACGTTTCTTAGTGTGTGTTTTTAACTGTTATTAAAATGATCCATTGGGAACATAAGACTGTCCTTTTTTTTCAGAATCCTTAAGTAGTTTCACATTGTGGAATAAAATCTTTTTTTTTTTGTTTTGTTTTGTTTTTTAATTTTAATATAACCTGTGTGTATTCTTTTTTTTAAAATTAAATCTTTATTGTTCAGATTACATTTGTTCCTCTTTTTTTTTCCCTTATAACTCCCCTCCTCCCAGTTCCCGCCCCACCCTCCGCCCTCACTCCCCACCCACTGTCCTCATCCATAGGTGCACGATTTTTGTCCAGTCTCTTCCCGCATCTCCCACTCCCCTTTCCCCCGCAAGAATAGTCAGTCCATTCCCTTTCTATGTCCCTGATTCATTATAATCACCAGTTCATTCTGTACATCAGATTATCTATTCACTTGATTCTTAGATTCACTTGTTGATAGATGCATGTTTGTTGTTCATAATTTGTATCTTTACCTTTTTCTTCTTCCTCTTCTTAAAGGATACCTTTCAGCATTTCGTATAATACTGGTTTAGTGGTGATGAACTCCTTTAGCTTTTCCTTATCTGTGAAGTTCTTTATCTGACCTTCAATTCTGAATGATAGCTTTGCTGGATAAAGTAATCTTGGTTGTAGGTTCTAGGTATTCATCACTTTGAATATTTCTTGCCATTCCCTTCTGGCCTGCAAAGTTTCTGTTGAGAAATCAGCTGACAGTCGTATGGGTATTCCCTTGTAGGTAATTGAGTCTCTTTCTCTTGCTGCTTTTAAGATTCTCTCTGTCTTTTGCTCTTGGCATTTTAATTATGATGTGTCTTGGTGTGGTCCTCTTTGGATTCCTTTTGTTTGGGGTTCTCTGCGCTTCTTGGACCTGTAAGTCCATTTCTTTCACCAGGTGGGGGAAGTTTTCTGCCATTATTTCTTCAAATAGGTTTTCAATATCTTGCTGTCTCTCATCTTCTGGTATCCCTATAATTCTGATGTTGGTGCGTTTGAAACTGTCCCAGAGGCTCCTTACACTATCTTCGTATTTTTGGATTCTTTTTTCATTTTGCTTTTCCAGTTGGGTGTTTTTTGCTTCTTCGCATTTCAAATCTTTGACTTGATTCTTGCGCTCCTCTGGTCTGCTATTGGGTGTCTGTATAATATTCTTTATTTCAGTCAGTGTAAGCTTAATTTCTAGTTGGTTCTTTATCACAACATCGAGGGTCTCATTAGATTCCTTGAGGCTCTCATCAAGTTTATTGGCAGCTTCTAGCACATTATTGCAAGCCCTCAAAATTGCGTTTTTTAGCTCTATATCCTCCATTTCTGTCATGTTTTTTTGTCTCCGCATTTTTTATGCTTTCTTGGTGCACCCCCTTGTGGTCTTTGTGCGAAGTCTTGTTCTAGTTAAGCCTTGATTGTTGTAGTTAATACTAGAGGGATTTGACTACCAGGCCGACTGGCCGACTGGCTGTGAGAATCAGCTGTATCCGCAGTGGGAAAACTTCTGTCCTCTGGAGAGGTGCTAATCTAGCCATATGGCAAATGGCTCTGCGCAGGGCTTAGGCGGGGCGGGTCGCACGGGATCAACAGGGCGGGCAGAGGGAGCAGTTATGGCTGCTCTCAGTCCCGTTCCCAGAGGCTCTGCTTCTCAGAACCCCAGCAACCGCTGCAAACCTCGGAGAGAAAGCTGCCCTCACGTTCCAACTGATGCCAGACAATCCCGCCTCTCCCGTTTGAGTCTGAGTCCCTAGAGACTCGCCTGGATCTGGAGCTCAGAGTCAGACTCCCTCCCAATTGAAAACGACAACCGCGCCCTCAGCCACCAGCCGGCTCCACGCGCACCTCCGTACCTTTGTATTTTCCACACTGGGCCTCCTCTGAGCCTCGGTATGCTGTTCTCTTTCCTTCTAGTTGAAGAATCTCTCCTCAGCCAGCCTTCCTGTGGTTCTGGGTGATGTCCGTTCCGTCTTTTAGTTGTATTTTTGAAGTGGTTGTTTGCGGCAGCAATCTCCGGTGTTTACCTATGCCGCCATCTTGGTTTTCTCCTGTGGAATAAAATCTTAAGTTGGTATCCCTTTTTAGTAAAATAGAACTATTCACTAGTCCCAAAACATGCATTCCCAAAGCCTTCTTATATCTGCATTTTTTTCACACTGTTTTCTTTGTGTAAAATGCTCTTTTTCTCCATCTCTGTTGTACAGATTTTACCCAGGGTCCAGTTTAATAGCCATTGGACATCAGAAAATTTTACTTGCTCTCGAGCAGTTTGCATCTCTTATAAACATTCTTGACAATTTAGTCCAGACATTCTATTTTTCAGATTGTAAGCTTCTTGCACAGGAGGAACTGTGTCTCATACTTTTGCATGTCCCTGCTATAAAGTAATGAAAGGCGTGTTCTTGTTAAGTACGCAGAAGATGGGTGGGTGAAGCCCCCAAGAAAGGCACGTAGGCCTATGCCAGTGGTCGGCAAACGGGCTCACGAGCCACATGCGGCTCTTTGGCCCCTTGAGTGTGGCTCTTCCACAAAATACCACGTGCGGGCGTGCACGTACAGTGCGACTGAAACTTCATGGCTCATGCGCAGAAGTCGGTTTTCGGCCTGGGCGAGTCTATTTTGAAGAAGTACTGTTGATATTTGGCTCTGTTGACTAATGAGTTTGCCGAACACTGGCCTATGCTTACTTGCAGCTTATACCCGGGAGCTCTGGTCCATGATTGAATTCCTCGTCTTCACCTTCAGAAACTTGATACTTTGGGAAGTCACTGGATACCGTGGTTTGGGTGGCTTAGGTGTCGCTGGCACGGCAGATGGTCTAGGGCTGCCTCAGCGAGCCACTCCAGGAGCACCATTTGCATTGTTTTCTTTGAGAAAGGGAGCCCCTGGAGTGATGTGGCAGGGGCCTTGGGAAAGGATCTGGTCAGGGTGGCCCTCACCAACTCCTCTCTTCTCATTCTTATTCCCAGAAAAAGGCATTGCTGGCTCTGAAGAAGCAAAGTAGCAGCAGCATAGCCAGCCAAGGCGGCGTGAAACGCTGTGAGTGACGGGAAACAGGAGCACATGGCTGGCTCTTCTCCCTCCTGGCTGCCATAACGCCTCTCCCTCCCCACTGCAGCTCTGTCAGAGCAGCCCGTGGTGGACACAGCCACCGCAACGGAGCAGGCGAAGCAGCTGGTGAAGTCGGGAGCCATCAGTGCCATCAAGGCTGAGACCAAGAACTCGGGCTTCAAGCGTTCTCGAACCCTAGAGGGAAAGTTAAAAGTAAGCACAAGCAGAAAGCTAGTCCAGGAACCCTTAAGTCAGGGGCATCCCTCCATGCTGGAATGGAGGCAGGTTGAGGGGGAAAGGAATGCCTGCTCGATCCTGGGCAAATGGTCTGCCACTCCGAGCAAAGGCAGTGGGTGACTCCTGAGTTCTGCACTTGGCACAGTCTGGCTCCAGTCCATGTGTGAGAGCTCCTGGCTTGTGCTGTTCTCAGGAGGTGAGCCGGCTGAAATGTTAGCAGATTCAAGAAATGTTGAGATAAACTAAGTGCGGGTATATTAGGGTCACTTATTTTGAAATACCACATAATCAAATAAGAAAAGTACAGCCCTAACCGGTTTGGCTCAGTGGATAGAGCATCGGCCTGCGGACTGAAGGGTCCCAGGTTCGATTCCGGTCAAGGGCATGTACCTTGGTTGCGGGCACATCCCCCGTGGGGGGTGTGCAGGAGGCAGCTGATCGATGTTTCTCTCTCATCGATGTTTCTAACACTTATCCCCCTCCCTTCCTCTCTGTAAAAAATCAATGAAATATATTTTTTTAAAAAGAAAGAAAAACACAAAGGAATTAAAAGGAAAAAAGGCCAGCAGAAGGCGAGAAGGGGTGAGGGAAGAGGAATCCCCTCTCCTTTGTCCCATGGTTGGCCGCCTCCTGCTCACACTCTGAGGTAGGTCTCTACCTCCTTCCAGGACCCTGAGAAGGGGCCGGTCCCCACTTTCCAGCCGTTCCAGAGGAGCATATCTGCGGATGACGATCTGCAGGAGGTAACGGCTCCCACTCCTCTGTCCCTGAGGGACCCACATGCCTGAAACGAGGGGTCCTCCTCACTGAAACTTGGTCTCTTTTTCAGTCGTCCAGACGTCCCCAAAGGAAATCTCTGTACGAGAGGTTAGCAAGTTAGAGATAGGACCGGTCCCGGTGGGTGGAGGGGGGCTGCTTGGTCCTTGGGAGGTATGGGGCTGGAGGGGGAGGAGCTGGGCTCCAGAGCAAGTGTTGAGTCTCTACAGGGTCTTTAAAGACAAGGTAAAGGCCCCCTTTGATCCTCACTGTCTGCCTCCCCAGCTTTGTTTCTTCCAGTGACCGACTTCGGGACCTGGGGCCAGAAGGGGAGGAGGCAGAGGGCCCAGGGGCTGGTGATGGCCCTCCTCGAAGCTTTGGTAACGCCCGCTCCTCAGTCTCCCCTCCCCGAAGCCGCAGCCGGGACCGCAGTCGTGAGCGGAACCGGGACAGAGAACGGGACCGGGACAGAGAACGGGACCGGGACAGAGAACGGGACCGGGACAGAGAACGAGACCGGGAGCGAGACAGAGACCGAGACCGGGACCGAGACCGGGACCGAGACCGAGACCGAGAAGGCCCTTTCCGCAGTGAGTGGGCGTGGGTAGTGGGGAAAGTGGCCTCAGCGAGGATTGAGGTGGCTCCAGCTAACGTGGAGGGTGACCCACGGTACGTCTGTGATCCCACAGGGTCGGACTCGTTCCCTGAACGCCGGGCCCCTCGGAAGGGGAACACTCTCTACGTGTATGGGGAAGACATGACGCCCACCCTCCTCCGTGGGGCCTTCTCCCCCTTCGGAAACATCATTGACCTCTCCATGGACCCACCCAGAAAGTAAGGAGGCCGTCGGGTGCGCGGCCTCGGCCAGCCCGTCCCCTGCAGCCTGTAGCATTGGGCTCGGCTGCATTAAGAAGAGCCCGCGTCCCTCTACTGACCCTGTCTCCTCTCATCCAGCTGTGCCTTCGTCACCTATGAAAAGATGGAGTCAGCAGATCAGGCCGTTGCTGAGGTGGGACTTCCCAGATCCGTTCCTCCCACCCTCCTGCCATCCTCGAGTTTTCTCTAACGTACTGAGAGCTGGAGGCCATCATTACCTCCTGACAGCCCCTCCCCGCTCACAGCAAACCTACGTTCTCAGATCCCGGCTCAGGCCACTGCTAGGATGGCAGCTCGTGGAAATTCTCCTTTGGTTTGTCTGTAATGTTTCCCCATCCTCTGCCCCAGCTCAACGGGACGCAGGTGGAGTCCGTGCAGCTCAAGGTCAGCATTGCCCGCAAACAGCCCATGCTGGATGCCGCCACTGGCAAGTCTGTGTGGGGCTCCCTCGGTAAGAACGAGGTTCTTCCTCATCCTGCCCCCACCGCTCACCCCTTCTTGTTCCCCTGCAGGTCCTGGGTTCCCTGGAGGCCTGGGTGTGTGGGGGGCTGTGGGGATGGGAAGGAGAGTGGTCAGACCCTCTGTCAGTTGGAAGTAGGAGAAAGAAGAGAAAATGGTTGAAAATAACTAACTGGAGCAGGGTCAGGTTCATGAGGAAGATGAGCATCTCGCGGCCTTGTTCGTTTTGAGGTGAAGTGTAGTTGGTTTTGGAATAGGAACTGGAACTCAGGCACGAGGTGGGAAATGAAGACAGATTGTCACCTGTATCTCGGGGTGGCTACAAAATGATAGTCTCATTGGGGAGACTGACTTCTGGAGAAAAAAATGGCCCAGGACTGGGCTTGGGTAATATTCAGAGAATATGGTGGAAGCAGGGTTCTGTTCCCCGTGCCCGGCTCGTCCCAGCCCTCCTGACATGTTAGGCCGGGGTTGATGCAGCAACGGAGACAGCAGGAAGGGTCAAGACCATTGAAGCCAGAGGCCACCCGCTTTGAGAAAGGGCATGTCAGCATTGCCAGAGTACAGAGACCCCAAAGACTGGGAGCTGCTGTCGGGGGTTCACTAGCCCCAGAGTGGCGGGGATGGAATCCTTGGCGATGGGGTGAGGAGAGGGACGCACTGGGAACAGGGAGGAACAAGGAAGGGAAGGAAAGCTCGAGGCTCAAGGGAGAATGCTCCGGCCACAGCTACCCCCAGCGTGAGTTCTGTCGGGCGAGTAGCACTTCTCATTTTAGCAGAAATAGATTTTCCTGGCAAAGGAGTGGGGCAGAACAGGGGTTCAGAGCAAGAGTGACCTTCCAGATGAAAGGAAGGGCTCAAAAAGACCAGCATGTCAACAAAGGGCTATAGAGATTTTCTCATTTTTAACTTTTTAAAAAATATTAATTTCATAGAGGAAGGGAGAGGGAGAGAGATGGAAACATCAATGATGAGAGAGAATCACTGATTGGCTGCCTCCTGCACGTCCTGCACTGGAGATCGAGCCCGCAACCCAGGCGTGTGCCCTGACCAGGAATCAAACTGTGACATCCTGGTTCATAGGTCAACGCTCAACCACTGAGCACATTGGGCCAGGCTAGTTTTTAATTTTTGATGTATTGACTCAAAGCTGTAGTAAGCACCATTCAGATGTGTCAATAATAACATTTGCTGTTTTTCTAAGAACCAACCATTTAACAGTATCCCCATGTGATAACAGCATACCGCTCACTGCTGGCTGGGGTGTTGTGATGGTTTGGCAGCCACTGGGAGACAGGCCGTCCCGGCCACCAGAGGGCAGCATAGAACAGCTTCCAGGAACCAGAGGCCAGGAGTGGGGTCAGACTCCGTCTGGGGTCTCACCAATGCTCTCCTTCAGGCCTTAACTAATCCTTTCCTCCCTCCCTAGCCGTCCAGAACAGTCCTAAGGGCTGCCATCGGGACAAAAGGACCCAGATTGTCTACAATGACGATGTCTACAAGGAAAACCTTGTGGATGGCTTCTAGGTGGCGGAGTGAACTGCTTGTGCCCCGCCTGCCCCGACACTGGTCTCAGTAAAGCACCGAGGTGGAAGCTCACACACCTCCCTCAGCCTCTGGTTTCTCAGCACTGGGGATTGGGTTGAGCCTTTTACAACGGCTGTTAGATTTTATCTCATTTGTGGCAAGATGGCCAGTGCACCTTCCCCACTCCCTTACCCCAAAGGATGTTGAACACAGGTGTTGTCACAGCTCTTTTAATTGGATCCCATGCCCCTTCCCAGCAGGAAACCCCTATAGAAAAGAATCCTCGCCCTATAGCTTCTCCTTGAGCCAGGGCAGCACTTGGAAGAGGTTGATGTGAAAGTCCCGGGCGTGAGCAGGCACCTGGTGCAGTCTCTTGTCTTTGCAGACATCCACGACTCCCCAGCTGATCACACCAACCTGCAGGGGCGCGGGGTGCCATGGGTCATCTGGTAGAATTTCACCTGCACCTCAGGAAGCACAGCTGCTCCCATTGCACCTGCACTGACCTGGGAGAAATAGACTAGGAACCCCCTCAGTCCCATCCTCCGCAGCAGCCAGGCCACCCCGTGGTCCTGAGCCCCCAGTTCAGGGGTAGTCCTAAGGCGAGGCGACTCTGCCCTCCCCTTTCTAGCCACAGCTGTTGGCCTTTCCTGCTTTGGGGCCCGTGCTGACCACTTGGCGTCTCCCCCGGCTGGGAAAGGAGGGACTTACTTGAATGAAGCGACTCCTCTTGTGAATAATCAGGGGGCCACCAGAATCACCTACAGGGGAGGAGAAGCTGCAGCGAACCTCCTGGGCCTCGGGAACTTGCAGCTCCTCCAAAGAGCCTTTTCTCACCTTTGCAAGTGTTGGGGTCAGCATAGGGATCCACCCCTCCAGTGCAAAGGAACCTGGGGGTGACCACCTCAGAGACGTCCTTGACTTGACCATAGCCTGGGGCCTTCTGAGCATCTCTCTCACACGCGGCTTTCTGTGGGCGGGAAGGAAGGGATGAACCAGCTCGCTCGGAGAGTCTGGGCCGAGAACCTCCTTAGGGTCCCACATTGCTCACCTTATCCCCATTCTTGATGTGGACCTCCTTCCGAGTCAGCCTCTTCTTCCCGTCCTTGAGTAACTCAGACACAAACAGCGCTTTGACATCCTTTGCCGGGAGCAGCTCTTCCACTGGACAGATGGACGGACTGGGTCATTTCAGCACTCCTCTCCCCACCGTCTCCGCAGCTCCCTCAGCCCCTCCCTAGGAGCTGGGCTCAGGCAGGCGCCTCCTCAGCGTCCTTCACGCCCCACTTGTCTCTTGGACTCTCACCCTAGTGCTCCTCTCCCTGAACATGTCTTACTCTGTTTCTGGCAACTGGTTGACGGTGGAAGCCTCAAAGCTTGATTTGTGGCCACAGTGCAAGGGAGACAGATGGGCCTGTTCAGGAGAGGTAGGGAACGGATGGCAAGCTGCACCCCAGGCCTCCAGCCCCACCTTTCAGTCTCTCGGGGAGCCCGACGCCCGACCTGAGAGTCTTGCTGTATTGCAGCTTCTCCTTGAGCTTGATCAGGGCCACGTCATAGTCATAAAATTCCGGAATTCCTTCTGCTTTTTTCCCATTGATGTTGTACTTGGGGTGAAATAGAACTTGTTCTATGTGCAAGTCCTGCTTCTTTCCTCCTACGGTCAGAGGAGAGAGGACCTCTGGGCCACCCACTTCTCCGGGCAGCCTCCTGCCTCTGGCCCCGGGCCTTCCCTCTGCTTCAGCATAGAAAGCAGGGGCGGGCTCTTTCTCTGCTGAGGGCCATTGGGGTATTTATAACATCGTCCATGGGCCATACAAAATTATCAAATTAAAAATTAGCATGCTAGGCCTAGCTGGTTTGGCTCAGTGGCCCTCGAATTGAAGGATCCTAGGTTGGATTCTGGTCAAGGGCATGTACCTTGGTTGCAGGCTTGATCCCCAGCCCCTGGGAGGCAACCAATTGATGTATCTCACATCAATGTTTCTCTGTCTCTCCCCTTCCCTTTCACTCTGTCTTTAAAAATCAGTGGAAAAAATGTCCTCAGGTGAAGATTAACACAAAAAACAGCTTGCTATCTTTGGTCAAATATTTAACTCCTCTAATACCTTGGCAGGGCCAGACCAAATGATTCTGTGGGCCTTATATGGCCCATGGGCCAGACGTTCCCCGCCCCTGGTGTAAAGGAATGAGCTACATTGAGGGCGGGTGGACTGAGCTCGAAGTGGGAGGTGTTAGCTGGAGGGTGGAGCTCAGAATTGATCCACTGCATCATCCTTACCCACGTTGACCTTGATCCAGTGTAGCTGGTCCTCCACTGTGAAGCAGTGTGCCGCTGTCAGCACAAAGTACGGGGACACCACAGCCCCCATGCAGTTCTCATGTGCGTTCGGAGGGCGCTGGTAATAATGGCGGAGGGGAAGCTCTTTCACCAACTGAATCCTAGCATGGGCCCTGCCCGTGCCCTACTCCCACTTCACCCTGCCCTCCCCCCAGGACGCCATGCTTACGGTGACTGAGATCTTGGCCTGCCACGGTTGCCTGTGGTAATCGGTAGCATCCTTGTGCTCCCAGACCATGCCGCAAAGACCCAGAGTCTCACCTTCCTCTAGAAAGAAAGGGCGGGCGCTGAAAGCTGGGGCGCTTCATCCCAATGGCAGCACCTTTGGGGAGGGACGCCTCCATGTCCATGGGAGCCGAGGCCCATGAGGAGAAAGGAGAGGCAAGGGCATGCGTTTACTTGTACTGAAGACATGAAGTCACTGGTACAGGGGAAAGAATTTGAGACTGAGATCGGAGACTTGGCTGGTTTTAGGCCCAGCTCACTAGTTTGCCATCTCTTGGCCTCATCTGTAAAACGGGGCTGGAGAAAGGCCCCTGGGAGCTCTGGTTCTAAGTGGACAGTGCCAGGAAGCAGTCGACACTACGGTGGAGCCAAGGAGAGGCCTTCCAGGCAGCCAGGGCTTCGGGCGGAGCGGAAAGGAGGGCCTGGGAGAGCGGGCTTCCTGACATCTGCCTACCAATCATTTGGTAGAAAACATTCTCCAGGTTTTCCATGTCCTTGACTTTGAACACATGTTGTTCTTTATCTTTCTTGGAAGCCAAAGCATTGATGTTCTCTTGGTTCACCAGAGGCCCAACCCCAAACACGTAGACATCTGAGGGAGAGAAGGGAGGGTGAGGGTCCACGCCTGGGAGGGGCAGGAGCTGGGAAAGCAGGCTGCTGGGTCCTGGGCAATGAAACTCACCCAGGTAGTCCTCCCTTGGGTTTTTGCGATCTCTGCCAATGTCCAGCAAAGACCGGATGTCGTGGATGACAGGGACCGGGTCTCCGCCCATGTTGTGCTGGCCTACGGAAGAGACGGACCGTGAGGGGAGGCAAGGAGGGTCCAGACAGACAGATGGCTCACCGAGTGGCACGTGGCTGGGTAGGCAGGTTTGGAAGTGACAGATCACAGAGTCCCTCCTTGTAAAACGTCACAGAAAAGATCAACATGGTTCCGGCCTGTTGCTGCTTGGGGCCCCCACCATGAGTCTAATGTTACATGTGGACTGAAGGGCCACACGAGTGAGAGGGTGGGGAGTCGGGCAGGAGGGAGCCCTTCTGACCGTCAGTCATGAGGATGATGACGTGGCGGGTGCGGTTCCAGCCCTCGGGAGGGGTGTCCCCCGCCCAGCCCATCATGTTGTACACTGCCAGCAGGGCCTTCTTGGTGTTCGTCCCCATCTTCAGTTTATGATCTGTGGGCAGGAAAGAGGTTGCCACCTCCCAGTCTTCCAAGCCACCCTTCAACCCCGAGGCCTGTCACAACATCCCACATGGTTCAACTTTTTTAGTTGATGGTCATCCCACTGACTTCCCTTTGCAAAGTGACTCTCTCGGCCCCTAACAGGTTCCCACTAACCTCTGTTCTCCGCGGACCCTGCTGTCAACCGTGCCCTACACAGTGGTCCTCCCTGTCCCCAGGCGGTCTCACACAGCACCCCTGAACCTTTGACCTCTCTGACCCCAAAGGGAGTGAACTTCCCACCATGACTTCTGACCTTCGTAGCTGATTTTGTCGAGCTTCTCTGTGACCCAGGCTGCATTGCTGCTCTCTGCGTCGGACACTCTAATCAAAATGTTGGTGTTGGTGGCATAGGTCACTAGAGCGTATTTTGGATTCACCCCGTAACTTGCCACCTGAGGGAATCAAGGGTAATAGCATTGCAAGGAGAATACTTAGCTGGGACGGGGAAGGTCCTGGTAAGAGACTCAAGGGCCGACTGGTCACTGGGGTTTTCAGGGGCGTCTGGGTTACAGGTGAAGAAACTGCTTCAAGTGAAGGGGAAGGAGGACGGGCTAGGACCTGAGGATTTTCCGAAACCCTGGGGCTCAGAGGGGCTGCCAACCAGGAAGCTAGTCCTGTGAGGGCCGTTCAGGGTCCCCGCATTGAAGGAGGGGCTCCACCTTCTCAATGAAGGCTTTCAGGCAATTCTTGGCGCCGGTGAAGTTGTGCGTCCCGATGCTGTCGGATCCATCCAGCACCAGGTAGATGTTCATGGAGCCCGAGGGGTCCAGGACAATCCTCCTCTTCTGTTGTTCACCTGCGCGCCCCACAGACACTCAGGCTCCCTGCCCCCCGACCCCCTGCCCTCCCGACTCCCGCCCCACCTCCCACTCCGCCTTCGCACCTGGGCTGTGCCCATCCTCAGCTTCCGCGCCCTCTATCCTCTCTGTCAGGGAAGACAGGAAGGCTTCGGCCACCTCCGCAGGGGTGTCGTACATGAAGGAGTCTGGGAGAGGAGAGCAGGTCAGATGTGTGGGAGGGCCCGCAGCACAGGGGCCAGACGCGGGCGGTGGGTTTCCAGAGTGGGAAGGGCTCAGCGGTAAGTTGTACAGGGACGTTTGGCACAGAAGGAGGCAGTGCCCTGGCACGGGGGCTTGAGGCCGAGAGCCAGACCTGACCTGAGGGCGGGCATGGGTCAAGGGTCACCTTGGCAAGAAGGCTCTGTTCCACTCCAAGAGCCACCTTCCTGGCAGGTTCGCCGCTGGGAGCCGCGCAGGGTGAGTCCCCGGCTGCAGTAGTAGGTGACGCTGTCCTCAAGGCGGTACTGGCTGCCCACCTTCCTTGTGCCAATGGGGATGCCTGGGTTGGGGCAGTACCCCGCTGCAGAGGCATGAGACCACGAGTGAGGCCCGAGGCCCGGCGGGCAAGGCAGCGCCCAGGAGTGACCAGGGTTCCTCGGGCGGCGGCACCGGGGGGGACAGGCCACCGTGGGGGAGCCATCTTCTCACCTCCATTGTCACAGATGGCTGTTTGCCCATCCCACCGACCAGTCGCTTGGCAGGTGCGATTGGCAGAGCCCCGGAGAGTGTAGCCATCATAACACTGGAACGAGATCTCGTCACTCAGATTGTAGTAGGAAGCCCGGGGCCAGTACTCCCCATTCTCAAAGTCCTGTGGTCGTGGACAGCGGATTGCTGGGGGGGGGGACAAGTAGAAGTCACTGCGAGGGGCGGGCTGCCCTTTGGAGCCTCCCTCCCGGCCTCAAGGCCCCTGTCACTGAGAGCGAGCACCTCTCGGTCCCACAGGAGCAGCGTCTCCCCCGCCCCTGGAGGGCCCCTCAGCCCCCGGGAGGCCCCCCGCTCTTCCCTCCCGCTCCTGAGGGTTCTGCCCGCTGCAGGCCCGCCTGGTTCCCTCCTCCTCCCTCCTTCCGCCTTCCCCCCTCCAGCCCGGGGCAGCTCCTACACCTGCTCAGCCCAACTTTCAGCCCGCCTGGCCTCACACACGGATCAGCCTCATCGGGACCTCGGCCGCCCTGCTCCAACCCTCTGCTGGCCGTGCCACCCTCCCTGCCCTCCAACCTCTGCATTCCGCCTTCTTGACAATCTTTTGGTCTTTGGTCTGCAGGGCGCTCCAGGACCCCGTGGATCTGCAGGTGCGAGTCGGCACGGGGTACGGGTAGAAGCCAGCGGGACACACGTACTCCAGCGCCTGGCCCTCCTTGAGAAGCTGGAAGGAGCCGCCTTTGATCTCTACTCCCTCCAGAGAGCAGGGTCTTTGGGGCTCAGCCACGGACACTGGCGTGGTGCCCACACCTAAAAAGACAGGCTGGTAAAGCCTGGCCTGCCAGGCCCAGGAGGGATGCTGGGCAGCAGGAGGGGGCAGTGACCCTGGCTTACCTCCAGGCAAGAGGCCCAGGATCAGGGCTACGAGGCAGAGCCAGGGGCTGGGGCTGCTCCGTGGGGCCCCGGGAGGCGGGCGAGCGGCTGGCACTGGAGGCCGCACGGCCTTCCCCGGCTGGTGCTGCATGGCCATTTGGCTCAGCGTCCAGGCTGAGACTGCAGACCTGGGCCAGGGCGCACTCCCGTCCCCTGCCCCCCACACCTCCAGCCTTTTATGCAATCAGAGTGCTGGCACCTGCCGCTCGCCCTCCCCGCCCTTCCCACATCACTTTCCGGAATGTCCAGGAGGGAGAGCCCCACTGAGCTGCCAGTCAAGGAAATAGAAACTGCAAGCCCCACCCTTTGCTGCCCAGGATCCAGGACTGTCCCTTCAGCAGCTCCCCTCGCCACAGGTCCTCCCCAAGAGCCCAGACCGCCCCCCTGTTGACCGGTGCGGAGCAGAGTCCCTGTTTGTCCAGCAAGGTCTCTGACCTGCTCCTGCGGTTCCTGGAATCACTCCTGCCTTCCCCGCCCCCAGGCAGAGGCACAGACTATGTGAAAATCCGATTTTTATTAATGTCCAAAACTGGGAAATTCCACGTGAAAGCGAAAGGAGAGTGAGTCGGTACAGCCGAGGGTGGCGGGCGCTGCCTGGGTGAGGAGTGAGGAGGGTCGGGGGGGTCTGAAGGCAGAAATGCAGAGGAAGGACCTGGGAGAGGACAGCAAAGGGGCCGTGGGCGTGACTAGAGGGGCAGGAAGTTCAGGACGCCCTCCAGGTGCTGCCTCAGCCAGGGCTGCAGGCGGAAGAGGCTGATGTGAAAGTCTCGGAGCGGGAGGACCTTGCCTCTAGGTAATTTGTTGCAACGGAGCGGGGGGTTGAGACCCCAGCTCACGAGGCCCACCTGGAAGAGAGAGAGCATGGACAGGAGGCGGCCACAGTCCCAGCTCCAAGCCCGTCCTCCTGGCTCCTGCAAAGGCCTCCCTGTCCCCCGCGAGGCCCAGATCCTGTCACCCAGTCCCCACGAGCTTCCCCTTCTCTCACCTGAAAAAACCTGAATCTCCGCTCAAGGAAAACCGCTCCTCCAGATTCTCCTGCAGAAAGAAGGGGCAGGCGATGCGCTGACTCATCAGCAGGGCAGTGCGCCATCCTGGGTCCTGGCCATGTGCTGGCCACGGGCCCTGGGGCCTGCCTGCAAGAATGCGGGGGGGGGGAGGGGGGGGGGGCTTACCCTTGCAGGGATTGTCATCTTTCTCCATCCCACTGCACAGGAACTGGTCTGTCACCACCTCGCTGACATCTGTCAGGTTGGGGAACGTGGTTTTGTCTTGGCCAACGACCTCAATACATCTTGTCCACTGCAGTAGGAGTGGAGCGAGAGAGAAGGCTGGATGAGCGGCGGGGTGCCTCCCTCAGGTGGAGAAAGCAGCCAGCACCGCAGGGGCAGACAGACATTCTGGGGGACCCGCCCCCGCAGCCCAGACTGAGCCGCTCACCTCTGTCCCTGTCTTGAGGTTAATGTTCAGTGTGTCCCCATTCAAGGCCACAAAATGAGCAGGAACGCTCAGCTTGTTCAGAAGTTCGCTCTCTACAGGCAAGGAGAGGGGAGGCTGGTGCTGGCCCCTTCACCCGGGACCAGGCTTCTGACTTGGGGACCGGAGCACAGCCATGTCCTCACCCCAAGCCCCGGCCCCAGCTCCCCACACCTGAAGCCCCAGCTCTCACCGTGGTCCCGGCAGGTGCTGCCCGGGGGTCTCCGCAGGGCCAGGTTGGCCCCCACCGTACAGGGAAGGCAGATGGGCCTGGGGAGAAGCGGGGGTCACACAGGCCCGTGCTGGGTGCCCCCTCCTCCAGGGCGCCCCAGAGCTCTGCCCCAGGTGCCAGCACCTGGCATGGGTGGACATCTTCACTTTCTGGGCCAGCTTCAGCAGGGCGATGTCGTCCCCGTAGAACTCCCGGATGCCCTGGTGCCTCTTGGCAAAGACGTCAAAGTGTTCGGAGATCACCACCTGCTCAATCTGGAACTCCTTGCCCGAGCGGGAGCTGGGATCCCCTGGGAACAATGTGGCAGGTTAGGCCGGGCCAGGGCTCCTGAGGGGCAGGGGCTTGGCACAGGGTGGGCCCTTCCTCACCCACGACGACCCTCCACAGGGAGCGGTCCTGGTCAGCGTGGCGGAAGCAGTGAGCGGCTGTCAGGACCCACTGGTCCGAGATGAGGGCCCCCCGGCAGGTCTCCCGGCTCATGGGCTGCAGGGGAGCAGGGGGTCTTCAGGGACCCTCGCCCACGGCGCTTCACCTGCGCGTCCCGGCCCCGGCCCCGGCCCCGGCCCTCCTTCCCTACCTTGATAGTGACATGCCAGGGTGTCCTCTCCTGGGCGGAGGCGTTAGCTGACATGTTCCCCACCCCACATATGGTGTCTATGAGCTGGGAGACATCTGTGGGGTGAGGAGCGGATGGGGCAGGAGACAGGGGAGGGCACTGTGAGCAGGTTCCCAGCCGCCTCCGCCCAGGAGAGGACAGCCTGGTATGTCCACTATCAAGCTAGGGAAGGAGGGCCGGGATCGTCGCCCGGGTGCCGGTTCACGAAAAAAATGGTCCAGAGCCTTGCGTCCTGCAGGATGAAAGGCGTGCCTCTCGCCATCCTTCAAGAAGGCCAGCTCATTTCTGTTCTCGCCAGTCCACATCCAGCTTGCCCACCCCGATGGCATAGATGTCTGATGGGGGAGGAAGTCACCAGAATCTGTGGCTGGGCCATCGCGAGGGAGGAGGCTGTGTTTAGGGCTCACTGTGCCTGCAAAGCCCTGCATGGCCCCTCCACCCCGCCCTGTCTGACTGCATTTCCTCCCTCGGCTCGCCCTCCAGCCCATCCAGCCCCACGGCCTCCGTCCCACCGCAGGCCTCTGCATAGGCGCCTCCGCCTGGCCCACTCCCCCCAGATTTCCCACTTGGCTCACTTCCTTACCTTTTTAAGTCTTGACTCAGGCATCACTACCCAGCCGTCCTTCCCGCCTTGTGTCTGTGCCCCGCACTCCGTGCCCTGCCTCCCCTGCACCTTAGCCCCTGTCACCAGCTACCGTGCCCTGGGGATTCCTTATCTCCCTTGTTTAATGCCCACTGTGGGTAACACTGTGTCCCCCAAAAGGGTATGTTCAAGTCCTAACTCCCAGGACTTGAGTGCGACCTCGTCAGGAAGTAGGGTCTTACGGATGTGATCTAGTGAAGATGAGGTCGAGCTGGACTAGAGCGGCCCTGACCTGACGCTGGGTCCTTGTAGGAGAGCGAAGGGATGTGAAGACAGAGCAGAGACCGGGTACCCGCCTCAGCCAGGGCCCTGGGCCCCCAGCAGCCGGTGGAGGCGAGGAAGGACCCTCCTGGCCGCGCACACCTTGCATTTGGACTTCTAGGCTCTTCAACACGGGAGACTGAATTTCTGTTTTTTAAGCCCCTCAGGTTTGTATACTGTGCTGCACCAGTCCTGGCAACTAACACGTTGTCTCCTAGAATGCTGCCCGCGCCGCTTGTGTCTGCTTCGCCCTTAGAACAGCGCCTAGTCCTGGCGGCTCTGGGCTCTCGCAGTCCTGGTACACGACTAGGTAAACACGGGCGTGGACGTCGCCTGGAGGCGAAGCACGGACCTGGCCTCCTCCACCCCGAGGCTGTGGGCCGGGCCTGGAGAACCGGCTGGAACCGCCGCCCCCTCCCCCCACGCTCCGCACTCTGCCCTCCTGGCCCCCTTCTGCTCCCAGAGGGCGGGGCAGCGTGTGGGGGGGATGCTCAGACCCGGAGGGTCCCCCCAGGCAGCACCTGCTCTCAGCCCAGCTCAGGCCCCAGAGTTCTCTGTTTCCCTTCAGCTCCTGCCTGTTCAGTGAGGTGGTTTGGGAGCATTTCACCCTGGCCCAGTGGTGCTAAGGCCTGAGGGCATGGGGTTTGGGCTCTGCCTTCCCTGGGCCAGAGTTTTAAAGAGGAATCTGCTCTCCACGGAGGGCCAGGTCGGGGGCGAGGCACACGGACAGGGAGGGGGGCGTTGGGCGCTCAACGCCTTCCCTTATCTGGCGCGCTTCTCTCGGAATTCTTTTCTGGTCAAAGGCCAGTGCAATTTGTATTCCGCCTGAACCTGAGGAGTTGTCCGTTAGCACCTGCAGCTGCCAAGGCTTCCCTGGCTTATCTGCACTGCTCCCAGGGACGCCAGGGACAGTCCCCAGCAGGCCCGCCTCTTCCTCCTGGAGAGGCTCCTGCAGCTGTAGAGCGTGGGAAAGCAGGGGGAGGAGGAAGATGGCGACCCCAACACACTGTTTCTCTGTGTCCGAGCATTCGCCCCTGTCGGCCTAGAGGTCCCCTCTGCAAGTGAAGAAACTGCCCCCAGCCACAGCTAACCCAGATGACACCAGGCTCGCTCGGCCACCTTCACACGGAATACACAGAGCGGGGGCGGGGGCGGGGGCGGGGGCGGGGCGCCTCCATAGAAAGATGCTGGGACCCAGGCAGTAAGGCCTCGCACCCCTGGGGGGCGGTACAGCTGGGGACAG